GAGAATAGGGTATAGATGCATTTTCTAATCTACCACCAACACGAAGTATTTTCGTTTCATCTAGAAATGGATTCAATTGTAACAAATTACCTTTTACTGGCTGATCCTTTGCTAATCTATGAATTTCATTATTAAAATATTGCCTTTGTTCACATTTAACAATTACTAAAGTAGCATCATTAATTTCCTTGGCATTTATTACACCATTGTGTCTTTCATTTTTAGGCAATTTACAATTTTTATAAAATCTATATACATATGCAACTACTCTTTGGAGTTTTAAAAAAGATGAATATCTATGCAATAAATTTTTTATGAAATTTTTATCATATGAATCAATTGTAAACAAACATACATTTTTAATTTCAGGTAATTTTTCAACTAATTGGACAAAGTCATTAGAATGTTCATAATCTTTATCATGCATAATTTGTGGTCCATGCCACCAGAGAATATTTTCTTTCAACATATCAGGATCTAATCCCCTAGAAATACAATCTGCTGGATTAGATTGTGTATTAATATAATGCCAAGAATAGTTTTTAGAGGAATCTCTTATAGATTTAACTCTATTAGCCACATATACAGATAACCGTACAGGTTCTATTTTCAACCAAGACAACACTATTTGTGAATCTGAATACAAGTAAACATTCATAACTTTCTTATCAAATTTTAAACATATACATTTATAAACCTTTTTTATTAAAATAGAGAGCAAGAGTGCACTATTAAGCTCAAGCCTAGGTGTTGAAAGTTGTTTACCAATGGGACTGACTCGAGATTTTGAACATAACAAGTTCATACAAACAGTACCATCTTCTTTTACAATTCTTATATATATACAACATCCATATGCATTATTTGATGCATCAGCAAACCCTACTATTTCAACCTTAACAAACTTAGAAACACTAATGTTTCTTGGAATAGAAATATATGACATGTTAATTAAACCTAAAGCAAATTTTTTCCATTTATGATTTAAATCAAAGGAAAGTGGAACATCCCAATTAATATTAGCTTTCCAAAGCTCTTGCAAAAATAATTTTGCTTTAATTAATATAGGACCCAGTATTCCCAAAGGGTCAAAAAACTTACTAATAAAACTTAAAATCTCTCTCTTAGTATAAACTTCCAAAAACCTTTGTTCTGGACAAGTAATATCAATATTGTCTGTTTTTATATTGTAATGTAAGCCTAACGTTTTAACAGACGTATCATCAAATGCTAAATCAATATTTTCTAGCTGCTGCCTTTCAGCAGGGATATCAGCCAGCACTTGCGGTGCATTCGAACACCATTTATGTAATTCAAAACCTCCTAATCTCAATAAATCTATTAGTTCATATTTTAATTGACTCAATTCATCAACATCATTAGAAGTAAAATTTACATCATCAACATACGTGTTATTTTTGAGTGCAGATGCTGCTAATTTATATTTATCACTAAATCGGTTAGCTAACTCTAAAAGACATCGAGTTGCTAAATAAGAAGAAGTTTTTAAACCATATGTAACAGTTTGAAGCTGAAGGCATTCAACAGGATCATTAGGCGACTCTCGCCATAAAATATTTTGAAATTTGCAATCCTTTTCATTTAAATTCACATTTCTAAACATTTGTTTTATATCACTTATAAGAATGTATTTACCTAACCTAAACTGTATCAATATATCAAATAAATCACTCTGTACTATGGGACCATTGAGTAACATATCATTTAATGAAATTTTGTTTTTTGTCAGCATGCTACCATCAAACACTACCCTTAATTTAGTAGTTTTGGAATTTTCATTAAAAACTGGATGGTGCGGTAGAAAATAAACATCTCCCCTTTTAAGGTCATATTCAGATATATTAATTACTTTTGCATGCCCCTGTTTAACATAATCATTAATAAACAATTTGTATTTTTCAAACAAAACTGGATCTTTAGAAAACCTTTTTTCTAAATTATAAAATCTTTGCAATGCACAAGATAAAGAATCACCTAAATTAATTTCCTCTGCAGGCAATTTAAATGGCAAGGAGACTTCAAATTTATTATTATTTAATTTACAAGTTTCATTAAAATATTTCTCCGCCAATTCCTGTTCAGAAGTTGATTCAAAAAAGGTTTCATTGACATTTTCACATTGCCAAAATTGTTTTAACTGTTGATGAATAGAGTCTTTACAGTAACCACATGGCTCTTTCTTTTCAGTAATATTAGACTTATAATTTAAATTAACAAAATTACAATATAATTCATCTTGCCTCGGTGTCTTACCCACAACAGCTCCTCCCACTACATAACCTAATTTGGTATTTATTAGGTATGGGCCGCTAGGTGACAGCGGTATGCGCTCCCTCAGCAACACCTTAAAAAATACATCACAAGCTAAAAGCATTTGTACCTGTGCTGGTGAATGAAAACTTGTATCAGCAAGTTGCACATAAGGTGGAATATTCATGTGGGATATATCTATGTTGTGATGAGGCAAGGTGCATGAAATCTTCTCCACAACAGAGCAAGTGACAGGCAAAGCAAAGTTAGACTTGGTGCAAGCATGTATTTTAAAGTGAGCGAGTGCATTTAAATTATTTGTGCCTTCACAAACACCCACTACTGTATGCGACTCAAAAGTAGTCAAGCATTGTATTTGGTTAGCCACTTCTTTAGTGACCATAGAAACCTCACTTCCAGAATCTAAGACTGCCCGCACAAACATAAAAGAACCATCCTGTTTACACAATTTTACTATAGCAGTTGGTAAGAGAACACTTTTATTTTTAATACTATTGAAAAGTGATACCTTTTTATTTTCAGCAGTTTCAGGATAATAAGCTGTTGAATTAATATTATCAATATGCAACAAAGTATTATGATCACCCTTGCATTTAGCACAACGAAAGCCAAAATAGCATTTTTTTGTATGGTTATTTAAACACAGTTTACACCTATTTGTTCTTTCTATGAACTGTATTCTCTGTTTGACAGAGCTAGTTTTAAATTTCCCACAATTATAAATTTTATGAGAATCTGACTGACAATACTCACATGATGATTTATTTGTAAGCAAGCTTACACGTTGAGGTCTGCTAGCTGTAGCTCCAGACATCCTTTCTTGCCCTGTAGTGGCCTCTAAAGCAATAGCCTTATTTTCTAAAAATAATATTAAATCAGATAATTTATATGGCTTATCCCTATTTATCTGTTCCATATAAAAAGATCGTACTGTGTACTGGTCTATTTTTTTTGTTAATATACATATTAAAACCATGTCCCAACTGGAAACAGGCTGGTCTAAACTCTCTAGTGCACTCAAATTCTGTTTGACATCAGCAATTAAGTTTCTTAACGCTAGAGCTGTACATTTTGTAATTGGCACTATATCTAATAATTTATTTACATGATCAATAACAATTTTATTTTTATTGTCATATCGTTCTACAATCAGGTTCAATGACCTTTCATAATTCTCATCTAAGAGCGGTAAATTTTTAATAATATCTAGAGGCTCACCTCTGAGAAAACTACGTAAGTAATACAACTTTTGTGTATTATTTAGACTTGCATTTTTGTCGATAAGCGACCTAAATAAATTTAAAAACGGATAAAATTCTTCACTTTTACCTGTGAAGGTTTGAATTTCAATTTTAGGTAAATTGACGTGGTGCTCGTTGCTTACTGATGGTGATGATGACAATGCAGACTGATTACTATTTAACGTTGTTAACGCAGATTGCAAGTTAGACAATGCAAGTAAATATTTGTCTTCATAATCATCGAAATCTGCATCGCCTCGTTTTTGAGATAACGTTTTAAAATGGTTATCAGTATATTTTTCGAACGTATTTTTTAAGTAACTAATTTTTATTTCTAATAAACTGGATGTTACCTTTTCTCCAATGTTAGATGCAAAATTATAAATTTTAGTTATCGAAGCCTTTAGTTGACTTCGAGCAGCCACCAATTCCTCTATGTTATCCATTCTTAAAACTATATACAACTACACAAATCCAATATTTATACAAATTTAAGAGTTTCTACAAAATAAATTTTCACAAAAATGGCTTCTTTTTGTTAGTCACACAACACAGCACAGAAAAATGGCGCGACGACGCTACACCGGCTTGACGTTCTGTTCCGGACGAGAAGACTTGCGCAGTGCAGCAAACGTCCACAGCGCAAGCGCGAAAACGTGTTTTGCCCAATCAGCGCACACAGCCGCTGACGCACTTTGTTGTACCAGCCAATAGCCAAGCTCGACGCCGACTAACTTGGAAATGGCTCCCCGCGAACAATCTTTTAAAGGACGCGGCGCCAACTCAAAATGGCGATGATGGAACCAATTTATTTCTTCACTAGTGAAGCAGTATCTTCTTTGTTTTTGTCCAATGATGGACCATTTCTTATATTCCAAACGAAGTACTATTTCTTATGTTCCAAACGAAGGACCATTTCTTATGTTGTGTGCGACGCTCAATGTTAATTTATTATCATCCATAGGTCGTTTCTTGAGTTCACTGATTATTATAAAATTAAAACATCGCACTTGTAAACATAAGAAAGAATTTATTATTTACACACCTTGTGTACATTATATTAATTTATAATTTGTAATATTTAGCCTTTAAGACTACTTAATAATAATTAATTTAATATTTGTGGCTATAGCCCACACGCGTCTCAAAATTAGAAGTTCGAGAAGACCGCCAAAAACGGCAAAACTTTTTAAATCAATTTTTTGCTATGCAAAGGAATTTGTGTTCATTCTGCTTTGAACAACATTAATACGCCTATGATTAATATTGGGATAAATTTTCATTACTTTGAACTTGTGCATTATCTATTGATCAATAAGCTCCAGTGATTTATTTTTACTTTCATTATTTGTCCTTTTACGTACATACTTTTTATATTTTTTTATGATCGTTTTCATTTACTTTTCTTGATTTGTATTGTTTGTGTTATTTATTTAATTTGTTATAATTTGGTTTCTTTCTTTTCAGAGGGCTTTAGCCTTGCAACAACAACATGGTAAGTCAATTTTTAGTGCTCATAATTAAATAATAAATTATTCAATATTTGCAATGCTAATATATACTTCGATTAATTTATGAAATGAATTCTGAAATGGAATATTATTACAATAAATTACTGATACTCGTACTGAAACATTAACTAAATCCAATTTCTCAAACGCTCCATTATCTTGATAAGAGGCCGGCCATAATTTCGTATGCCTTACATTATGAAATGGAAATCAATATTTTCTCTGATAATTAATCTGACATTTTTAATTTATTGATATTTTAAATTGTAAACACATTTGTTCAGGCTAGAGTATTAATTATAGTGTCAAAACAAGCTAGATACTACATATAGTATGTTATTGACAGTGTTTAATCCGATATTGTACACATTAACTAGATAATGTATAGAATAATTAAAACGTTACGTAATGCATGAAATATTATAAAGCGTAATATATTAGTTATAAAAAGTTTATTATGAATAAGTCGAGAAGTCTAATACTTGTTTTTACCGGTTTTCTTAGCTAGAAAAGTATAACGTTATTTTTGTTTTTATATTGCAAATAAAATATATTTCTAAATTATAAATTTTTAATTGATATAATTACAAAGTTGATATTGAGAAAACAGTAACGCGTTAAAAAGTTTCTATGAGTCATCTTCGCACTAAATTGACAACAAGAAAGCAAGGCAATTTACAGAGTTTCATTTTAGTCGCGTTTTAGCAAGCATTTTCACTCGAAATTTTCTGTGAAAAGTAGATGTAAAAATGCCTACCTGCCCTTTTTCGGTGCATCGTGTTCTACGACTAGGGGAGATTGGACATGACACGTAAAGCTAAGCAAGTATGTTTATCTCGTTCTGACAAGAGGTATAATGTATGATTGTAATAGAGAGATAACTATTTTTGATTTCTTCGCGCCCTTTGTGCTTGTATTATAATTTAACGCTATCACAATAAAGTTTACGCCGTTTTAAAATGAAATAATATATGTTTTAAAATGAAATAATATTCACTGTGCATCTTCTATCGCATCTATTACGGGGAATGCTCCGAGGAATTGTTCGGACTTATACCTGCCGCTACTTTTCGCCATCGTTCCACGCGACAAGAAATCCACGCCCATCATGTGGATGGTTGGAAGTCCTCAACCATGCGTTTTTCTAGAAGTTTTCTGCCTCGCACAGCCAAACTCTGGAACAGTTTGTCGCCAGCGGTATTTCCGGACCGATACGACCTTCAAACTTTCAAGAGTAGAGCTTATTCGTCCCTCAAAGGCCGGCAGCGCACTTGTAGCTCCTCTGGTGTTGCAGGTGTCCATGGGCGGCGGTAATCACTCACCATCAGGTGATCCGCCTGCTCGACTGCCCCCTATTACATAAAAAAAAATATATGTATGTTTTACTGTTTATTGCTAACATATGTGAGTACAAACGCTAAATAAGGAAATCTTTTTTTGATTGATGGATAATGTACTCGAGCTAACAAAAGGGAAAACTACGCTAAAACAACTTTTAATGAAAGCTTATATATTTTTGGATCATCTATACCAATATTATAAAGCTGAAGAGTTTAATTGTTTGTTTGTTTGAACGCGCTTATCCAGGAACTTCTGGTTCGAATTGAAAAATTATTTTTGTGTTGAATAGACCATATATCGAGGAAGGCTTTAGGCTATATAACATCACGCTGCAACTATAAGGAGCGAAGAAATAATGGAAAACGCGGACGAAGTCGCTGGCGGCCACGTCATTAATAAGATTATTTTTTATGTGACAACAAACATATTATTCGACAAAATAGAAGCGATTTAAGTCTTCTACGTTAAAGATTTATTTATAATCGTCACAGAAAAGGCCTCATTTTTATCGCGAGGATTATTTTGTATAATAGCGGAATATTTTTTGTTTACAAGTTTGAAAGTGGAAGTAGTTTCTAGATATCAAAACCTCAATGATTAATATAGGAAATTGAATGCTGACGGATAGCTGAGGAATGACTTCAAGAAAATGTTTAAAATAGAGCAAATACTGAATTTTATTTAGAGTCAAGAGTAGGGTTTTATATTAACTGCTAATTTTTTAACCTTTAATATAAAAAATCATAACCTGATACTATACTTTGCGTGATCTTATATACCGAAAGTTAGGTGAAATGAGCTTCACAGTTAGAAAACCCATTTGAAAAATGCTGTAAAACGTTTGTCAAATAATTATAATTATTCTAAGAGAGCTTTTGCTCAAATGTCCATTAAGATTTAATGGCGACTTTAAGCTCTAATGAATTTCATTTTGTATCGATAATATCGCTTTAAACTGATGACTATTTTAATGGATGTTTGTGCAATTGGCTGTAAATGTTGACTTCAGTACTGCATAGTCATCGAAGGGCTGCCGCTGAAGCTCTGGGTTCTGATTTAGTCGTGCGAATTTATATGATTGAAAGATTAGAATTTTTTAACACTGATTTGTTTTTGGTAGTATTATTAAAATTGACACTATCACTAAGACGAGCTCTACTAGAAAGACATTTTGATAGTCATATTTCTAAAATGAACGGGAACGTGGAAAATTATTTTATTAAAACAAAAACTATGCAACGGTCAGCAAAAAGTCAAAGACACAGCAACTAGAGGGTTCTTTTTGAGCAGGATTTCACAGTGATTGTGAACCTCTAGGGGTTCGCCTATCGATGGTAGAGAGTTCGCGATAAGATAAACTATTAAATTTTACTTGATTAGTTAGTTAAGGGGTTCCCTGTCATCTTCTTTTACAACAAATCTTTTACGTGTCGTGGAGCCAAAAGTTTGCAAATCCCTGATCTAGAGTAACCTGGATGTACATACGTTACATTATGCCTAGTCTTCACGCTAAAGAAAAATATATGGTTAGTGCGTCCCTTGAAATCAGATTACAACAGTTATATATCGGTAAATTTAATAAAACGTTCAGAGGTACATTTAGCTCAATTGCTATCGCGTCTGAGAAAGGTTTTTGTATAGCATCCTTCACAAAGGCTTTTCAATTGATAGGTGATATTATCTCGGGCTTAAAAAATATTCCATCTGGTATATTTCATAGTCGAGAGATACATTTGATTGATCACATCCTTTGTCTTAGACATTCTCCGAATTGCGACTATTTTATTTTTTATAGTACATTTTTGATCATTTATTATTCGTCGGTTTTGCTTTACAATTATTTGTTAATTGATTCAATTGTTGTTGTTTTATGAGGTTTTAATTTACAGATGGTAATATATTTTTAAAATCATCATACAGTCTATTATTATTGTATTTTTTAATAGAACAAGGAAACATAATACGTTTAAGTTGGCATATTTAACGAAAAGAAAAGAAAAAACCATAGATCTAATTCTATAATTTAGTTGATTTGCTGTAAGGTGGACAAATTATCTATTTGTTCGAAACTTTGAAAACTGAAGCGACGCGTAGAAAACTGTTATTATGTTGTGAGGTCCGCAATCACCGTCACCCACGCACTACAATCCATGGTCAGTTGCCGCATCCTATAATTTATAATATTTTTAGATTGCGCGACAATCGTTTGTTCACTTATAAGAACGGGCAGGACGAATTGGTTATAAACTACTTGGTGATGCGGATGTGGATAGTCCACCCGTTACGTTTGTATACTGGTTATAGTTTGACAGTCAGTTGCACAAACGTCCATTAAAATTATCATTAATTTAAAGCGACATTACCCATACAAATTCGCCAATCATTAAAGCTTAAAGTCGTTATTAAACCTTAATGAATATACGTGCAACTGACCGTGTGTGTCCTAAATACACAACATCAATCTGGTACTGAAAATGTCGACTTGTGAAGAAAATATTACTAAACTCCGATATATTTAATTTCTTTTGCCGGACTCTCCAAAATATAAGAAATTAATTATATTTTATTGTTTACTTTATCCATTTTAAATATATATAAAAAATATAGTTATTTCTGTGATTTAATCGGGATTTCTCTGATTTATCCTGAACTTTCAGAAGCCTCTTACAAATGCTCTCCTTACGCTGTCTAAATAAGAGCAAATCCGAGTAAATCTTAAAGGATGGTAGCTCAAACCTGACGCTTTTCATTCGTTTCCTTCACATTTATCAATTTATGCATACCACGTGAGATACAACGTGAATATAATTAATTACAAATATATTTTTACGGATACTTATAGATGAGACGTCGCTGAAGAGTTCAATATGAAAATGATTTGAGCATTTGTCAGATGCATAAGTTTCATTTAAATAATATATAAAAAAATATTAAAAGTAATTATTATTTACTGGATCTTTTAAAGCGACACGTCATGTTTTTGAACCCTGTCAGCAGGACAGTCGGCCTGTATAAAATATTGTAACCCTTTTAATTCGGCATATTATCTTTGTGCGATGGCTATTTTTATAAAAATGGTAAAGATATTTAAACTATTTAAATTAAAATCGTCATCAAAATAGGTTCTTAATATTCGCAAAAATACAGTCGCATTGAAAATATTTTTTTAAAGTTTCTTCATATTTGATGATATACGAGATTGTTGATTCATGCTCCGTTAGCTTGGACACGTGGAAGGAATGACTAAACAAATATTCATACTTAGAACGTGGAAGGATGTAATAGCCATGGAAAACCAAGACCTCTCTGTCTATCCGGGGTCCGGCATGAAAATATATTTTTAAATATAGTTTTTTAGATTAATATTGTATTTTCTTTTTGTTAAAATATTTTTTTGTTAAGACAGTGTTATGATATATTATTACATCTAATTTGAATATCATTTAAACCTTACCGATAGTACTTTCGGGACACAAAATCGTAGGGTCGATCTGACGGCAAATACGTTGTACAACGTCAGAAGAGATGTCAAAGATGACATTCAACCGTTTATCCGCCAGTCCGTAAATCGTTCTAGTACAAAGGTACATACATCCATCGATCCTCTCGACTGATTTTCCTTTAGATGTGCACCGACCCTAGT